ATCCTATAGTGAAATAGCGCAAGCGAGAAATGGGAAATCCGCCTGAGTAAGTTTGCTTGTTAAATCAAAAAGGGCCTTCTAAAAGGAGCAGCTATTGTTTTGTTTTTTTTTTTTTAAGTATGATTTCGTTTGTGAGGCCAGCACATTCACTAGCATCGGACTTGTATTGAAAGGCTTTACATTCCCATTATCCTTTTATAACAAATCCTCAAAATATGCAAATATTTTATAAATCCTCGCAAAGCCTCATACTTGTAAGGTGAAGCAACTTTGATATTGTTACTCTTATGGGAGTTTCATTTCTGTTTTAACGCGAGTTGCCGATTTCAAATTTAAATTCAGGAAAAAATTGAACGAGACTTCCCTTTTACGTTAACTTCGATGCTAAAATTACCAGAAAAGCTTTTAAGTGCCAAAAGGAAAACTGATTCCTTAAATATTAACATTTTCGTTTCCCCTTATGATATGATAAACGATGGCCGGTGCGCAGTAAAATCATTATTTTAGAGCCTTTCAAACCCTTCTTCGAGCTTAATGTTTCGGGGAACATGAATTACTGAGGCCACAGAATGGCGTAAATGGCTTTTCATCGAGCCACACAACATTTCGATCGTGCTCAAGCATACCAAAAAGCAAATGTCATCTTTAATGCCTTTTCAAAAGCTAGCGCCTTGAGCTACTATGATGTTTGTAACACGCGGGAAAGTGTGGTGTTGGACTGGAATCCTTCGGGTAAAAAGTATCAAAAAAGAGTTTCAGTGTCGTTGAACTGTGTTATAACCTTGACTTCAGATCGATGGAAAAGGGTCTCTTAAGTAAACGAGCAAATGCAATTTAAAACAAACCCAATTGTTTCCGCGATTTAGAAGGCAACAGGAAACCACTGAAAACAAAAAATTAAGATATATCTCAACAGAGAAATATCCAGAATCATAAATGACAGGCTTCGCTGGTAAGAGTTTCTTTTTTTCATCATGAGTTATTGGGTATCATTTTTTTTATTATTATTTTTTATTTTTCTTTGTTTTTATTTCCTCGTCTTACCAGGCTGTGTCTATGTAAAACAAAATCTATCATTAAAAAAACTTATCGTATGATTGAGACAAATAGTATTCTGTTCGAGAGTGTGATTGTCTTTACAAATTGCTGCAACGTACCCTAAGTAAATCTGTCGAAGTTGTTAATATAAACAAAGCGGTACAAATATTATAAAAAAATATCCTATTTTCTTTTCCTATTTGACTCCGTGCGTTATACGAAAATCCTAATAAACTGTAACAATTTCACACGCCATATATCAAAAAATAGAAAAAAAAAAAAAGAAGCAAATTGTGCGGAAACCCTCGCAAAACACTTAGTGGGCTCTTTTTAAATTATCTCCAGCCCATGGCGCCCACTTGCTTAGAAGAACACCTAGGAAATGCCCCCTTAATACGTTGTTTGATTATCTTGAGTGTTTCGCTGCTGTGATGTATGTCAGCTATTAATGTCACTCTAAAACAGGAACTTCGAGAAGTCATTAAAAAGGTACGTTTGCAGTTCCGAAGAAATATTCCCAACTGAACAACAGAGCTGGAAGCACTGCAGCGATGAATCACAAAAAAGTGCTCCTCGTATTAGTGCTGAGCCTAATCCTCATTGAGAAGGTTCATTCAGTGAATCCGTGGGACTTTATGCAAGGGCGATCTTTACGGAGAAAGACTATTGAGGTAGGATAGCTATCTTTTGAGACGGAATGGTAGGTAGTGTTATCAAAGACTTAGAACGCTACGTTTTGTTCATTATTTGCTTATCGAACTGCCGGCATGCTCGTGAAATCGTGTTTTCTACACCGCTAAAAAAGAACATCCTTCTCATCCGTCCATAATGACATTTTTCGAAAGCGTCATTTTGTAATTTTATTCTTTTCATATAATGTAGCATTCCTCTAACTTTCATTCCACGAATATTTTCTTCCTCGAGCGCGCTCAAAAGCACATTCAGTTTTTGCTCTCCGTTACAATGAAAAGGTTATCTTAAAATCATCTTCGATTAGTTTTTCTAATTTGGGAATTATACAGCATGCTTGAATTAAACTGTGCTCCGAGATCTCAGGTCAAAAGCATAGTTCCAATTTATTGGTAATGAATTCATTTTATCCAATCCATGCATGGTTAATTTAGCTTTAAAGCTTTTCATGAATACCGTGTTTCAGTACAAAAAACATAATGCAAATATGAATTATTCTAGTTGGGAAAATTAGTCAGATTGAAATTTCTATGAAAATATATAATTATTCGTAAGAAAAACACCAAGACAGAAATCTGACGAAAACGAGTGTGACATATGTCAAGGTGGGCTTTTCTTAATTTCTAAATAGAAACAATGGGCGTATTTTTTTTAAACAAGGAGTGTATATTATGTATGATGCACGATCCTCGCAGTAGATAGCGCTATTTAAGCAATAGCGAAAATCAGACCTGAAAAAAATCAGGCCTGTACGGGATTCGAACCACTGACCTCTGCGATACTAGTGCAGCGCTCTACCAATTGAGCTAACACGCCAACTGGGAGCAGGTCGTTAAGTTGATTCGTAATAAACCCGTGAAAGTGATAAATCAGATACAATGAAATATATGAAGTTCATATATTTTGAGCTGCGGTATTAGATACGTATGATGCACGATCCTCGCAGTAGATAGCGCTATTTAAGCAATAGCGAAAATCAGACCTGAAAAAAATCGGGCCTGTACGAATCCCGTACAGGCCTGATTTTTTTCAGGTCTGATTTTCGCTATTGCTTAAATAGCGCTATCTACTGCGAGGATCGTCCATCATACGTATCTAATACCGCAGCTCAAAATATATGAACTTTATATATTTCATTGTATCTGAGTGTATATTATCTTCGAAAAAAAGCTCATTATTCCAGGGAACGTTTAACTTACAATTTTCTTTGTTCGAAGGCGGAAAAAAATGATATCCACTGCTGAATAGAAAAGTTTGACCTGGTTTACAAATGAAGTACAATAAAAGGCGCGAGCTAATAGAAAGCAGTGGTCAAAATATCCCTCGCGGCCAAATGACTTGGGGGGCTTTAAACAGTGAACGCAAGTCTCTTCAATAGACAGTTTGATCATATTTCTGAAATAAAGTAGATGCGGGGTTTAATTGAAACTTGGTTTCGAAAAAAAAAAAAACGCATATTCCAACCTAAACTTTAGAGGACGTGCGTCTAATATTACGAGGAGTGCGATTTGTTTTGAAATGCGTTATTTACTTACAGAAATTGTGGCGAGACCAAAACATGAACCATTGCGTTTGAAATCAAGCAATACTAGTCGGAGTAAGCCAAACGTCTTCAGTTACAATTTTTAATTAAACTAGAGAGTATTCTTAAGATAAGTCAAGTTCCCTTTGATTATGTTACTTTGAAGCTTAAATTGATTGATTGCAGCACTTATACTGAACATCGTATCGCTTAAGACAGACATTATTTATTCGCAAGGACTAAAGCAACTGTGAAGATTTGTTTTGCACCGTCAGCTTGTGGAAAGAGGTAACACTCTCCCTGAGCTTTACATTTAAGGTAGTGCTTGACTGAAACATGGAAAATAACGTTTCCTTGCCAAAACAACTGTTAACGTTATGGTTACTGGAGGCGTTTTTCACTTGACGGTTGAGTATAGTTCAGAACGTCAAAGCCAGATATAAAGTCGATTTTAAATACAATGTCTTGAAGTGAGCCATGGGAAATTTCACTGATGCCTTAGTTCTTGTAACAGTGCTGTTAACATTTATTTCAGAGCACTTTCTATTTGATTTCTTTAAAATCAAAACCATCACAATGCAATGGCCGTCTAAAGCAAATGAAAATAATACAAGAGGCCTATGAGAAATGAACCGGAAATAGGCAAACTGCCTGAAGCGCGGGAAAACATGGGTGGAGTAAGCAAGCCGCAATTGATTGTAACGTCGTTTCTTTAGTTTTATTAACAAAAAAAAAATTTACTTTTTTGACATGGAAGATTTTGATGGCTTTTTTTTTTTCCCACAGAACACCGCACCTCAGTGTTTGCAGAAGATGGGTCAAGTTTGTAAAGTCATGAGGGAGTACTGCTCGTTAGACGAACAGAACAAAGGATCTCCTGAAAAAGACGGAGAGGATAGACTGCAATAAGAACTCGAGAGGGCGAACTCCCATTGAACATGTCGCTCGAAATTAGCTACGTAACTTTAAATTTATTTAAGTTCCATCAGAGCTTATTTGGCGGCTTGAGTATTCCCGAATTTACACGAAATGATGAATATCTCTGTGTAACATGTATACGCAAACCCATTGTGTGGCAAAGCAATAAAGAGCTTCTCTAAAAACATTTTGTGTCATTCATTTGTTTGGAAATAATCACATTTTGTTATTTTTATGTTGAATATAAGTCGTTGAAGAAATTTTTTCAATTTACCCTGTCAGATGTTACACGGCTGTTGAAGTAGTGCCACCCGTCTGCGGTTCAAGTACGAAGATTGATTCAGTCCCGAACCAGATACCTACTACACTCTTTTACCTAGTTCTCTCAGAGATACGAATATTTGTAATTTTTCCGCAACTGAAATCGGCTGAAAGAGCACATGGTAAAGGGTTACTCATGTCGTGGCGTGGCACTGTAAGAGACGGCAATCGCAAACAGTCATTGGCGAAACTCTTAATTGAAAAAAAAAAAAAAAAATGTAACCTACGTCTTCCTTGGCATTACCGTTACGGCTGCTTAAGGGTCCTTATTAGTGCCCAGGTACGCGTGTTTCTTCGCTCGTGATTTAGTACGAGAGCTTCAACGACGCGATCTTGCGAGGGGTTTGAAAAGGGTGTCCCACTGATTATCAGTGCCAAACCCTCTGTAAAACCTCTTCTCTACTCTTATCAAATCTTCACGCAGGCATAGTAAGTAACGCGCCTTCTGCAGTGCTAATTGATAATGGTCTGATTCAGGCTATTTTATCAAACCGACATCCACACAACAAAATACAGTTGAAAATATTTTTTTTATTTAGTGGATGAACATTTCGGTAACAATAAAAATCAAACAACAATAGAATTGTACATTGAATGATTCCAATTCGTTGGGATATCTTTTTTAGAATAATTTCTTTTTGTACATAACTCGTTTCACGATAAATTTGCGCCCTTCGCAACTTCGGCTTTCATGATATCAAAAGCTCACTTGCGCCTAAGATTACGATGGAAATCAGTTTCCTTTCAATCTTTTGCTTCGTGGGTCTTTTAGACTTTAACCACAACGTAAAAACGCAATTGAGGAAATGTTTGCTATTCGAAACTCCTGTTAGATAAATCGTTTTTCGTGTCATGATTCACGTCGAGGTATTAAAATGAGAATGGTGAAACAGAAGTAACATCAACGAATAACCATTATGTCAACGATAATAGCTATTATAAACAAAATAAAATAAAATAGCCAACAACGCTCAGCAGACTTGCGTTATGTTTCTAACCACTTTGAGAGTTTAGAGTGACTTTTTGAGCGTCTAAAGGAATCCGGGATTGCCTTGATTTTGCGACCTTACTGCATGTGACAACACAGCGGTCAAACTTCAAGCATGCGCAAGTGGTTCAATTTTGGTCTACCGCGCGTTAATTTCCCGCACACAATTTTAAAGAAAACATATAAAACGACTGCTGTCAGGAAAAATATGCACAGAAAAAAAGGAACGTTGATAGCAACTTGCAAAAGTAAACAAAAATTGGAAAAAGGAAAACTCAAGACTTTTCGAACCCGAGGCTTATTAGATTACAGGTATTGCTGATTTAACATTTTGCTTGAATTTTACCTAAAATGCGGTTGTTTGTTACTCCACTAAGACAATTCGTAACTAAGTGAAACACGTACTTTAGTTTGAACATGCGCAGACGTCAGACCGCTGTGTGGCACGTGACTAGACCAGAGAAGTCAGGCTTCTTTCTCGACCAATAAATTTGCTTGTTTTCACTTGTCTTCTCGACGGTTCCTTACGATATTTTTCTTGATTCGGATTTGTTGTGAAGATTAATTTGGTTTTGGTTTCAATAAACTGATTCAAAATGCACTCCTTTAAAAGAAAAAGAAGGAAAATGTCTAGGAGGCTTTGTTAAACGAAAAAGTAACGAGACAGATAAAGGGTTGAAGCGAATAATACGGATTGCGATTAATGGGCCCAATGGGCCCCAATGAAGCCCCTCAAAGTGGATCCTCGACACAATTATAACAGGCCCAGTTTCTCTAGACTTCAACGACATTCTCCTCTTTGTCAGGGCATTTATAATAATTCGTTCAAAGCACCTTTGGGCAAAATTCAAAGCAAATTATTATCAGTTCAGATCTTATACTCCATATTGCTTCACAGAGTTTCTAACATTCTGCTGTCAAAACATGCAGCGTGTGTTACGTGCTTGCTTTTCTTTTCGTCGAGGGGCCTTGATCAGCTTGGGTTCATTCAGTGAGCCTTCCAAAAAGAACTCCAAAATAAGCTTGAATATCAAATTAGAATCAATCTTTTCGCTGCATACTTGTTTGTACTTAAAAGACCGCCGAGGTCTTAAAGTGGCTTGGTGTCGCAGAGAAGAGGTGCTTTATCAGAAGACGTGTTCATGTCCCTTAACTCAGAGCCACTACCCTCGCACTCACTTTGGAAACTGAATTCACTGTTTCTCCTGGTTGGAGAACGTCCACTAAGCTGGAAATTAGCACTGTTATCAGGAAGGAAGAACGCCAATAGAAGAGAAAGAATAACAGAGCCAGCGCCGAACAGAAACGGTGCTCCAGATACGATTGTCTGCGGTAAAGAAAAATTACAGCAAAAGGTAAGAATTATTTTTTTTTTTTTGCTGATTCCTATTAACCAGGAGTGATACTGTATGGGAGATAAAATGCTGAGTACTCTTAGCGGTTAAAGGTTTAAACTCTAAGCCTAGGTGTGACTGTAAGAATGCGTTCCTCTGAGAGACAGTTGCCATTTTGTTTCCGTTTACAAATTTTGTGTTTTGGTACATTCCACCAAAACACGTGCAAGAATAACGCACCCGCTGTCATGGTAACTGCTACTACGCACCGAAAACCAACCAAAGGAAATGTATAGAAAAAAGTATGGAGAATATGCATACTGATGGTACGGTGTAAAGGATTGAAGAGCCGCCAAAGGGTTCAAACTCCTGAGAGTTACATACAGCTAATTCTCCCACCCCTATCAAATTCAAAGGTCATGTGCGGGTGGGGCAACAACTAAACATGACGTATTGCAATCAACACGGTACTGGGATGGACCATGTGCTCTTGTTTGTTGTTAACGTTTCGTGTTCGTTTTGTCACGTTCCAACTGGTTACAAAGTTTTCAAACCTGATCGACCTTACGGTTAAGATCAAAGTAAACCAGATCACCTAGTAAGATCATTATTTCGAATCGGATTGTACGGATTGAGACAAAATAAATGGAGTTAAAGGATCAGGTCGAACATTTCTTCTACATCATGAGAAAGGAGGAAATCATCGCTAAACTGAAGAAGCTCTCGATTGTTAAACAAATGCACAGAAAACAGTATGAATAAAATGCAAACTGATGTCGTAAATACCTTGCCATATGGATCCTCCATACTGGTTTGATTACTTGCTACAGTGATATCAATAGTTGGACCTTCCTCTTCTTCTAAATCCACGTGAAACACGTAAAACACTAATCCAAAGAGAGCAGGTCCAATGCCATTACACAAACCTCTAATTCCTGTTATCATACCTTGAACTACGCCTAGCAAAGAATGAAAGAAACTAAAAATAAATAAATAGATAAAAATTAAAAATTGAAATCTAGCAGTGGACATTCCCTAAGGTGGCTATTCTTTTCCACTGTTTACAGGTCGACCTGTAATTTAAAAAATTGTTTTTTTTTTGCGGAGGAAGGAAAACCGGAGAATTCGGAGAAAAACCCTCTGAGCGAGGACGAGAACCAAATGCAAACTCAACCCACATGTGACACCACATGTCTGAGAATCGAACCCAGGCTATGTGGGTTCGATTCTCAGTGGGAGGCGAGCGCTCTCATCACTGCGCCATCCCTGCTCTAGTTCAGAAGTGTTAGTTATATCATCCAGCAAAAGAAGGGGTGAGGGTTCAAAAGTACCATCACACTGGTATTATTTGTCAAGTTGTTTTATCAGCATAAATTATAATTTTTTCCAGACAAGGTTAAGGGGGGAATCAGATACAGGTACTTTGTGCGACCCCCCACCCCTTCCTTGAAGTTTCCGTGAATTTTTCTACGTCGTTTCCTGATAACCCTGTCAAAACCTGTCAAAAAACGACATTTAAGGATTATATATTTTCAATTTTAATTGACTCGTTTCTAGACCTTGGCGAATTTTTTCTCAGACCCGTACCTGACCTTGCACCCATGAAAGACGGCTCTAAAGGTCAACATCGCAGGGAGCCAACGAGAACTCGGAATTGGAACATGGAAAAGTGCTCATGTGCGGAAAATCGCGGACAGCCCAGTCACGATTGCTTTTAGTCTTACTCTGATTGACAGTGAAGTTAGAGCGATCTAGTGGTACAATCCTGCACCACTTTTTAGTTCTCTATTCGATAGGAAACAAACAAAAAGGGTTACCTTGCTGATCAGCCTCAGCATTACAGGACACTAGGGCACTCATGGATGGATATGTTATCATCGATATCGACGCTAAAGATCCAGCCGCCCACATCATCCTGCAGACACAAAGAAGACGAGAAATAATTTCGAGTACTAAGAAACACATTACCAAATTTTATGCACCAGCTTTCACGATGGCATCTCGCAAGTTCGTTTACAAATGTGTCAACTTTTTACTCTCATGAGAACTACATCAAAATTCTCGAATGTGATTGGTAATGACCAGCCCGATTTGAGCACGGCGACGCCAACGAGGACGTGGAAAAAAATATCTAATTGGCAGAACAATAGCTCAGCGCGTGCGTTTTAAAACTTAGTACATTTCTTAGCCGTCCTTTGCAAAACAACAGCATGAAAGCACCAAAATTTGCGTCGTCTACGAATCGAAACTGCGACGGCAAATTCTTTTCATTTCCATTTAAAACTCAACGCTACTTTTACACGTTATGTCGAGGTTGAGTTGTGGTAACGTATAAGATGGTAAACACAGCCATTCTAATTAAAACTAATCGTTTCTTTAATCAACGTCTTCCTTGCGCAGCCGTCCTGACTGCTTAAGCTCCCTGCTATCAATAGGCGGATTCATGCTGACGTCATTGTTTACATTTTTGCTCATTTGCATACGGCTTTGCGTAAAGAAGGAAGCATGTTAGATACAAATTGACTTCAGGCAGCTAAAGAGCTAGAAAACCTCAGTACATGGTGAAATTTTTAGCTCTTTGGGTGTAATATTCAAGGAGAAATAGTCCATCAAAAACTGCAAAATTTCTGGGTGGCAAAAGCGCTAATGAGCTCATACATTCTATGTAAAATTTTGAGTTTTTAAACCCGTGTTGCACAAAAAGTATTCAATGCATCAGGCTCGTATTCATTGGCCGAGTTAATCGTACTTTCACATTTCGATATTCAGAGCTGATTTATTTTTAGCTCCATCAGAAACTGAATTGCCCATGCTAATGAGGCAAATATTGTAAACAAGGATTCCCCTATACAACGAACGCTGCGAATATCCGTCTAGCATGGACAAAAAAATTAAGTCAAAGTAACAACTCCCTCGAAATTTCACCAGCTTTCGTAGATATGAGACAACAAGGTATAATTGAGTAACAACTTTCGTTTGCTTTGCACGAAAACAGCAAAAAAATTGATTTGGGAAGTTTGAACATTTTCGTCTGATTTCTTATCTCCCTATGTTTTTTTTTCTACTTTTTTTTTTTTAATTCGTTTAGCACAATCAGTATTACGGCGCTTTTCGACTAAGTGTCGTAAAACCAAAACCACAGGAAAACATCACAATGACAGGAAGTAATGGAAAATCAAAGTAAACACAACTGAACTACCTAAAGCGCGGGAAAAAGCGGGCGACCAGATTGGTTTTAATTTGCATCTGATTGGTTGATAGAGTGGCGCGAGTTTTCTAGACCAGTCACAGAGCGAAATAAAGCAAAAATAAAGCGATCCCAGATTACTTTCAACATTCAATTGAAATCTGCTCTGGCAGTAACTTACCAAAACTGAGTTCCGAGACCATACCAAGATAACTGAAGGATTTCAAATATTAAACCAATTAGAACGCAATTCTTCAGTCCTATAGTTTTCTTGAGACACGTAAGGACTACAGTCTGAAAACAAAACAAAGCAAAAGATCTGTCAGTAATATGTATTACAAACCTGGGTAGACATGTTTCATTCAACTTCGCCTACGGGAGAGGCATGGTATTTTTTTTTTTTTTTTAATGCGTTTTTCAGGAGACCGAGGCAAGCACCAGGCTCTCCTACGTGACTCGCGCGTTTCACGCTCCTTTGTGTGCTATAATCATCTATCTGATAAGTTTGAGAATTGTCATCACCTGTTTTCCGGATAATGTATGGATATCATGGGGATAAGCTACAGGTTAATCCCCTTTAGAAGTTCAAGGGCTAAGTGTTGCATACATCAAGAATACGATAACCTGAGATGAATCATAACAACAAAGCATGATATTCTTACCTGAGAAATAACCGATAAAACACCTAATACTGCTATAAATGTCGCCACATCGTCTGAAGAAAATTTGATAACCTGGCAGGAGAACACAAGATGAAAAAAGCATGAATAAAATGTGTCACTGAAGAGGACTTAAAATGTAGATTAATTTAACTCAGTAACTTAAAATAATCTTTTAAGTTACTGCGTTAAGTTAATCTATATGAATTCTATTAAGTGATGATCATGCATTTCGTTGTGAGCTTATCCAAAGTAACTGGAGTTAAAGTTGACTAAATATATTAATTCTCATCACCTGTCTGTTCAACATTGAAACAAAACTTTAAGGAGAATTTCAGGCTGTGTAAGTCAAACGAGAATTCTTCAGCTTTCATAGGTATCTTCTTGACTTAGTGAACAAGAATGTCCACATGTGGGAAATTTCATGTAGCAATGCACTTTGCTTAGGGTCTGTTATTGTTTGTTTGTGTGTTAAGTAAAGCTTCCATGTGTGAATGACTTACTTGCTTGAGATACAGAAACATACAGGAATACTGGCCTGCTTCAGGCAAATATGACAGGAACACTGTAATACACATCAACAGGACTATGGGATCCTGACCAACTTTGCGTAAAGACTACAACAGAAACAGCCATTGCAATTACTCACACTTTTAGGGCATGTAATGTTACGCACATGCAGTAGAGAAATAGCACACCTACTATAGTTTACATGCAAATGCGTGTTTTTTAATTTGTGTTTTGTAATTCACTACTTGACTTAACAATCCTTACAGAAAAGCTAGATACAATGTTGTGCCTTCCTGCGACAGAAAATTGTCACATTTATCATTCAATCTTTATTGTCTTTTATTATCCAACTACACTCTGTAAAGTACAAATAAAGCCTACGACGAGTACAAACATCACGCGGCATTTGCACTCCAGAGAACCGGTTAGACAGGTTTTCTCGCAACGCGCAAAGATTGAAGTTACAAAAAAAAAAAAGTAGTGGAAAATTAAAATCATTTTTCTGAAGACGAAGAGGCGGAATGGCTGGCGAATATTGATCCAAGTTTATTAGATGTATCGAACGAAGAAAAGCAGTTAGAAGACAATGAAATTTCATTAATTTACTTATTGAAGAATATAGATACAGCAACACGACAAAGCGCCACTTCCGTTCCGCTTCCCATACTTCTGTCACGCACTACCCGTAAAATAAATATCCGCGAAATTCGCCCGCACTGGAATAACAATTTGGCGTGTTGGATTATAAATAACTTATTAGACGTTTTCGTGTGTCGTATCGCTGAGTGTTTTTAGTCCTTATTTGTATTTTTTAACTCGCCCTATGAGCTCGTCAAAATACGGCACAACTCGTAAAAATACTGAGCGATACTACACAACAAAACATCTAATAAGATATATGTATAGGTGGTTTGCAAACAATCTCTAGAGACACAGGTAACAATGGTGAAAGGAACAAATGCTGGACAAGAAGCTAATGATATATCTATTGTTTACGTCCACCAACATGGCGGAAATGACGTGACGTGCAAACTACCTCTTGGTTACGCAATGTACAGGTTCGACCAGATTTTATCTTTCATTGACACTCCCATTCCCCCGTGCCCCATCCAGCAGCTACACGACGTCGAAAAAAAATGCATGGTAAAGGTACACAAACGAAGTAATACGTATGATGCACGATCCACGCAGTAGATAGCGCTATTTATGCAATAGCGAAAATCAGACCTGAAAAAAAAATCAGGCCTGTACGGGATTCGAACCACTTACCTCTGCGATACTAGTGCAGCGCTCTACCAATTGAGCTAACAAGCCAACTGGGAGCAGGCCGTTAAGTTGATTCGTAATAAACCCGTGATGATAAATCAGATACAATGAATATATGAAGTTCATATATTTTGAAC